TATAGAAGTTCACAGAACTGACTCCGCAACAGCTGAGGCACTTTAAGCATTACCGTATCGCATATCGAATATCGCATTATTTAAGGAGTTATCGCATATCGCATTTTTCTTCAATATCGCACAGCCCTATTTATGAAACGCAAACAAAACACAAACCTCACATTACAGTAAGTTTGTGTCCATGTATTACAATCAGTCCCGTACGGTCATTATTCACTGTCAGCTCATAAAAGGTGTTTGCATTTATGAGCCATAACTTAGTGGTATTTCTCATATGCAGCCTTTAAATGTTGCACAGCTGCGATCATGTCAAACAGGTTTCATATATTTAAGCAGAACATGTGGAATTTCCATACGGAAGTACTATTTGTATCCATCCATACCAATTAGGGTTGTGATGCTAGACGATAGTATTGTATATCGATGATAGTCAGAGATATAGCCTGTGTCTAATGACTTTGACGATATCAAGACGATTATTACTATTATAATTATTATTATTATCAGGCTAGTATTATTATCTAATTAATATCAGGGCTTATTTGTTCCATCATATTTCTTTTTACACATTTTTACAGTGTTGGGCATTATAATCGATCACACATGATACCATTGAGTTGATGAATGCAATGGCCAATCGGAGGCGTTCAGATTAGTCATCGCTGAAACACCAGAGTTCTGTTGTTCAGCGCACACTGACTGAATTCTGCTCTCTCGCGAATTCTCTCATCATAAACTACAAAGTGCAGATGTATGTGCAATGTAAGTATAAGGATTTATTCATCAAACAGTGTAGACGGCTTGTCGGCTTCACTGATTATAACGGGAGTCAGTGATGATATTCTTTGGTAATGTAAATATTCTTTGCTCGTTTTCTGTAGCTGCTGTTTGAATAACTTGAGCAAATGTAAGCATTATAATTAGTAACTTACAATGTTTTTATTAAGTTATGTCAAATATAAATTCAGTCATAAACATTTTATGACATGACATCCATATGCTACTTGACTTAAACGATAGATCGCATGGTTATGCTTTATTTTAAGGTGTCTTTGTTACAGTGTAATTATACATTTAAGTACTGAGTCATTAATTAACTACATGTACTTACTATATGGTTAGGTTTAGGATTAGGGTTTGGTTTAGGGTTACTTGAATGAACACTTGAATTTGATACCCATTTGACTTTCATACTCATGCTAATATCCAGTAGGTTCAATGCAATGCTGTTTAAATATGTGGAAGCAGGTTCAATACCAGGAGCTCATCCATGCTGGTCTGGCATTTTTCCAGATTGATGCGTTTGATGGCGACCTTCTCCTTCCTGGGCACACAGTAGGCAGCCTGGACCACAGCTGTAGCTCCGCTTCCTACAATACACAAGAATGCATGTTAGAATACATCAGGAACTGCATGGGGATGTGCCATCAGGACAAATAGGAGAATGAAGAGGAACAAAACCCCTCTGAACCCCCCAGATACCTCTAACCGTAATCCATAAAACATTACACTATGGCTTAAAGTGACTAAATATATATCGTAAAAATATAGTAGCATTTTCACTTTTAATGTCCACTAAAAATATGCATTTAAAAAAAAGCATTGTCATGTATTTGTCAAATTTAAGAGTAGTAACTTTAATGAGTTTATAATAACAAACTCTCTTACATTTACAAGACAAAGAAATTGAAATTGAAAGTGACGTGAACCATACTTGGAATTAGTGCTCTGCATTTAACCCATCCAAAGTGCACACACACACTGTGAACACACACCCGGAGCAGTGGGCAGCCATTTATGCTGCGGTGCCCGGGGAGCAGTTGGGGGTTCGGTGCCTTGCTCAAGGGCACCTCAGTCATGGTATTGAAGGTGGAAGAGAGGTGGTACATTCACTCCCGACTCTCTAACCATTAGGCCACGACTTCCCTATAAATGTTCCAATTATAGTAACATGTTACTACAGTATATCAAGAGGAAGAAATAAAAAATCTAACTACTAGGGATGTAACGATTCACTCGTTTTCTCGATGCATCCATTACAAACCCCGACAATGCATATGCATTGATCTTGAAACTGGATTTTGGATCGTGAATCGTCGATTTCGGACAGTAATCAATTTTAAAACGCTAAGAATCTAATGAATTTGCGATTTCTAGAGCTGCTGTGTAATTTTCCCTCCTGACTAAGGCCCGTCCACACGGAGACGCGTTTAGCTCTATACGCATACATTTTGTATCGTAGGCGTTTCGTCCATACAGATCCGGCGTTTTGGGAGAGTGAAACCGATATTTTTTTAAACCGGGTCCCAGAGTGGATAAATCTGAAAATGCCGTCCTTGCGTTTTCATGTGGACAGCGAATCCTTATATTTTCTGAAACAATGCCCCTAGTCAGACACCGCTACATCACGTAACAGCAAAAAAAACATGAACAAACACTGAACAATTGTCTTTTTATTAACTAACATTAACACAGATTAATAAATGTATTGTTCCATGTTCATTTGCATACCACGCGCAAGGTTTATGCGCATAGTTCAAGTCGTCTTCTCCATTTTTAGTGTATCTCTGTGGCAGAATTACAGTGCCACATACAGGTCTGGCATGTATACTACATCGTTGTGTGTCGGTTTTGTGGTTTCGCGTGGACGCAGATATTTATTGAGACGAGGGGGAAAAAAAAAGATCGGATAGGGAAAGCTCTGGCTTTGTGTGGGAACATAGCTTAAGCATTTCAAGAATTTAGGGGATGCATTTAAATAATCCTGTGAATGCACTTATAGAACATAGAATCAAATCGTTAATCGAATCGAATTTAATTGTGAATTGAATCGTTCTGAATTTGCATTTAAGTACTGAGTAATATGAATTAACTACATGCACTTACTACATAGTTAGGGTTAGGATTGGGGTTTGGTTTAGGGTTACTTGCATGTAATTATGCTGAATTTATTGTTATTATAATAGTAAGTACATGTAACGTGTAACTAGAACACCTTAAAATAAAGTGTTACATTTATAACCTTTATTAAATAATATTTATACCTTTATTAAATAATGTATAATTAATCATAATAAAAAAAATAATAATAATAATGATTATTATTATTATCATTATTGTATTAATATTAATAATTATTATCATTATTATTTTCATAAAGCAATGTTATATTAAGAATGGTATAGTTTACTGTTGTATGAATGACAAATGACTATTACTCTGAAAATTTTTAAAAATATAATTCATTATTATTATTATTATCATAATGATATATTGTTAATAAAATGTTATATTTGTATGGATGATGAATGACTATTACTGACAAAAAGTAGAAATATAACAAATAAATAAAATTTTTACAATTAATAAAAACAATAATAATAATTATTATTACTATTTTCATAATGTTGTGTTATATTACAAAATGTTATATTTTATTGCTGCATGAATGACACATTATTATTACTCTGTCAAAAATGACTGATTCTGCATATTGGTTTTCAGACACTTTAACAAAAATAATTGCTCACTAAACAGTAACATTTACCTCCAGTCATTACACTTACTCCCTGGGAAAGTGTTGGAGAAGAGCTGACTCTCTGCTAAATGCTCAATCAAAACATTCCTCTTGTCACTGCAGCATTGGACATTCATGAGAGAAGACTATTAAATCCTAATAGACTATAAGTCAAAGGATTTGAGCTATACTTGGCTTTCAACTTTACTGCTGAGGTTAATCTCCAGAGTGCATTAATGAGGTTCTGCTCATGGCACCACAGACTGGTACAAGAGAGAAAGCAGACAAGACACTTCTGGAGACGGTTATTCTTGAGAACACAAGGTCATCCTGGTCCACACATCCTTAATAATAGAAGACGATACTCTACAGGGGCCGAAGCCCTCGTAAATCAGCACGCAAGGAGGAATGGCAGAGGGTCCCCAAATCCAGGTGTGAAAAACTTGTTGGGTCTTTCCCAAAAAGACTCATGGCTGTATTAGATCAAAAGGGTGCTTCTGCTAAATACTGAGCAAAGGGTCTGAATACTTAGGACCATGTGATATTTCAGTTTTTCTTTTTTAATAAATCTGCAAAAATGTCAACAATTCTGTGTTTTTCTGTCAATATGGGGTGCTGTGTGTACATTAATGAGGGGGAAAAATTAACTTAAATGATTTTAGCAAATGGCTGCAATATAACAAAGAGTGAAAATTTTAAGGGGGTCTGAATACTTTCCGTACCCACTGTATGTTTCCACGGCGAGCTGAATATAAAATGACATATTATTGTGTTGGTAAGAGGCAGAATTTTTTTAATCATCTTTAATCATCTACCTGAACTCCATATGGCCTAATAATAACAAAGTCCTCATTGTTTTGCGTTTTGATTGCAACAGCAGGGCACCATGGATTAGAAAAAAAAAAAAGAAAATCTGACAGCAATTCTCATTTGCAGCTAAAAACTACAGCACTGAATGGCCGCCTGACTAGTTAGTGTACAGCCAAATACAGTCACTGAAGAATCTGATAGCTAGAATGTAACCAAAATGTGCTGACAGCAATCCCATTAATCACATCCTGGCCTGTATGCTATGGCCTCCAGCAGGATGTTGGTCCCCAGCACGGCCCTCAGAGTGCCTGTCTGAAAATGTCTGTGAGTAACAGTTCAGCCGGGATGTTCAGCGTTCATCAATCAGAATCTAGAGCTATATTTGAGACCCTATGCCATACATAAGGGAGCGCAGCTCACCAGATGGAAAGAAGATAGAGTTGCCTGAGCCAACAGCGTGAGTTTAAATGTAAACTCCTACTGTGAAACAAACAATCGGTTGTTAAGGATGATTCTGGGAAGACTGTACTAAAGTTGACCATTCATGTGCCAAAAGAAAATATTTCAGATGAAAAAGAATGACCATCAGACAAACAAAAAGAGAGTGGAAATATTATATATATATATATATATATATAATGTATAATAATAAAATATGATATATATATTTTACGGGCTTTATACATATATATATATATATATATATATATATATATATAAAACCTGTAAAATGTTTTATTATTTTATTATGTATTTATTTTTTACTTTATTTTATTTTATAAAATACCAGTCCAGTACCATATGGAGTATATTAGTTTTTTTTGTTTTTGTTTTTTATCAGCATGGTCGATATGGGATATTTAAATGTGCACACTCATTTTCTCTATTTTTATATTAAAGGGGTCATATGATGCTGCTAAAAAGAACATTATTTTGTGTATTTGGTGTAATGAAATGTGTTTATGCGGTTTAAGGTTAAAAAAACACATTATTTTCCACATACTGTACATTATTGTTTCTCCTCTATGCCGCGGCTTTCTGAAACACGTCGATTTTTACAAAGCTCATCTGTCTGAAAAGCTAGGTGTGCTGTGATTGGCCAGCTATCTAGTGTGTTGTGATTGGCCGAATACTTCAAGCGTGTGACGGAAATGTTACGCCCCTACCATACTGTGATGCCCTGTCTGGCTCGAGCGACGAGACAAAAACATTAAAACCCATTATAAACGAGGCATTTATAAGCCGCTTGCGGCAACCACATGTGAGGACCCCGGGCTGGACTCCGCTTCGTCCACGGTGAAAGCCGATCCGGCGATCCACAGCGTGAAGTTGATGTATTTCCTCAGCGACC